AGACACAGGTAAAAAGAGAGCAAGGACCTGATTTTGGGTCACATAACAAGTCAATGGTAGACAGGCCTCAGAACTCAATTCTCAGCTCTCTAAATCATCCATGCTGAGATAATGTAACTTCCAAAGCACTCTCCTAGAAACAGAGAGGCTTATCCACAGTAAAAGGAAGAGCCAATGGAGAGCCCAAACAGGAGCTCAGCTGGAAGGCGAACGGGGCAACTGTCAGGAGTCATATCTTTGATCCCACTTTCAGCAGAAGCATCTGTTGTACTATCAAATACAGCTGTCTGATCAAAGAGAACACTAGTATCGTAGACTACATATGCTAAGCTGCAAGCTCTCAGTTTCCCGTCTAGTTCAAATTTTATGACTTCTGTCAGGACCAGCCAGCCTTTCAGTATAACAGATATTAATTGAATGTCATTTGGATGTATGTCAGATGCACTATTATCCCCTCTCTGTATGCTGGGCTAAGCATATCACCCAGAGGAAACATTCTGCTTGTTCAAAAGCATTTTATAATCTATCCTGGGGGGATAGGAGCAGAGGGGGCCAGGCAGCACAGGGGTGAAACATACCAACTGATGAAGTGCTTACAAATAATTACAATAACTACAAAAAAGGAAGAAAAAGTTGAAGGTAGTTCCATATAAATAAATATATAAGTATATATGTAGACACATGTACATATACATATATGTATATATACACATGTGTTGTGCATACACACATATATACATGCATATATATACACACACACACACACACACACATACATTCATACGTTTGAAAATGTTAAGGCATATAGAGCCAGAAATTAGCTGGGAAGAATCAGAGCAAATTGAACCCAGGTGTGGGAAAGGAAGGGGAAAATTAGGAAGCAGAAATATACCAAAAATTGGGGATGGGAATAGTGGAGGAAAAATCAGTCACTATCAGAGGCAAGAAGAAGATATTTTAAAAGTTAGGCAAGTTGGAATCCTGAGAAGAGCCAGTGGGGGAAAATGTATGAGCAAAGGACAAGAAGGTAGTGTCATGGCAAGAAAACAAAATTTGAATTCAGAGGACCCAGGTTCAAATCCTTGCCCTCCTACCTACTACCTCTATGACTTTCTATTTACCTTCTCTGGAGTCAGTTTTGTGTTTTTTGTTTGTTTGTTTGTTTGTTTGTTTTTGGTTTTTTACCTGTAACATCAAGGCATTGAAATAGACTACTTTTAAGGTTTCTTCCAGGTTTGACTTCTATGACCCTAGGATACTATGGGTGTTATCCTTTGGGGATTCTATGGGCTACCTAAAGGCCTGCAGAACCTAAACAGCAATGATCTTGCTTTCTCAACATTTGGGAAAACTGAAAGAAAAAAATTGTACCATCTTCTCTACACCACCAGCTCTACCATTATCCCCCACTTAAACCTCAGTGGGTGGCAGCAAAAGCAATGTTAAGTGAAGAAAACATTTTACTAGAACATATCTGGAATATCCTAATGAGGATAAGTACCAATAGAAACTGGGAATGAATAAAATGTTCCAGACCTTTGACCTAGGGGTCACAAAAAAAAGAAGACTAGAATGAACTAGGTTTGGTCTCTCTCAGACTGTATTTTTTCCAGATGGATGCTAAGATAAAATGAGATTTAAATATATATAAACACTTTGAAAAGCTGAAAGTGCTTTAATTCAATACTTCATAAATCTGTGGCTCTGTCATGAGGACTTCCCCCACCAGCAAAGTTCACAGTCCCTCTCTTACCTAGTGTATAGCTTTCAAAAGTGGCTAAAGACAAAAAATAATAATAATAATAATCTTCACCACATGGAAAACCTGGTAATGAGTATTTATAGACTGGTCCTTAGAAAACTGAGATATGCTCCTAACATGGCTCCTGTATTTGAAGCCTTTTAAATTTGAAATCTTTAAATTCAATAAGGCTTTCCAGAATTTGTGTTGTACTGTTGATACTTTGAAAATTCCAGGTCATCTCCATAAAACAATGAAGCATAAGAATAAGATACAGAAGAGAAGCACACTACCAATATATGGTGTATTATTATGATTTAACCAATTTATATTTGTCGTGTTCCTCATTTCATTCATACTAAGGGAGGTAGGATTGTTTGTGTGTGTGTGTGTGTGTGTGTGTGTGTGTGCCCACACACAACTACACTCAGACACATGTGTTTAAGGCCCATTATTGAAGTGCAGATGCTATCAATTTGGTTTTATTTTGCCTTGGCAACTTCATCTAAGGACCCTCCCTTTCTCCATTCATTATGACATGGATCTGCTTACATGAGTAATAGGGTTGAGGAAGCAGGTGGGTATGTGGGTGGGGAGAAGGAAATCTGTATGCTCAGCATGTAGGGTATCAGTAAGCTGTCCTGGCATGCAGCCTCAGAGGGTACTAGCCTGGCTCTTAGTATCCCTTTCTCTGTTTAAAGGTGTGTAGTCAGTGCCTCCATTGTAAATCTTGCCCTGAAGACGAGCTAGGGACAGTGCTTTGGTGGAGAACAGCTGCATAACTAATTTTAGTCTCAGGCTGGAGAAGTGGGGCAGTTTTAATCTCCACAGAAAAGTCACTTTGATACAACGCTTGGCATCCTGTCATTAAAAAAAAAAAAGGAGAGACACTCCTGAATAACTGGAGCTCAGGCTATTATATTTTGGAAGAGGACATTAGAGAGGGCTTTTAGTACCTATGGAATTTTATATCCCCTTCTCCTCCCTGTAATAGTCTCTCAAACAAGCCCCAATGTCCATTCATTTAAGGAGACCTGGGGAAATGTCTAGATTTGTTTATATGAAAGGGAGCCATGGGGAACAGGGATCTAAAAACCCCTAATTCCAGATTCTTCCCTAACCCTTGTCCTGTGGCCCAAAAGACCTACCCAACAAGTGAATGGCAAAGCTTTAAGAATTTGGATTCAGTCACAGTACTTACTTTGGAAAGCTATGCTCTTCTCTATAGAATGTTAGCTCTTGAAGAACAGAAACTACTTTTTTGTGTGTGTCTATGCATAGAGCAGGGGACTTATAAATGCTCATTGAATTGAATTGTACATCCATTTTCTTATGTAAAATTGACCTAGCCTCTACCCAAAAATCCTGGAAGATTACAGAAGTTTTGAGAATTCTGAGTTACAGAGTTACATACAATAGTGCCTGGCATATAGTAGGTACTTAAAAATGCTTGTTGATTGACTGACTATTCCTGTTATAGGACTTATCCAGCAGAGAACTGGACTTAGAATCAGGAGTGAAATGATTGCAGTTCAACCCTACCAGTGATAGTTTCTATATGATTATGGGCAAGTTGCTTAATATCTCTGATTTTCAATTTCCTTGTCTGTTAAATGGGTAGCCCCCCCCCATCCTCGTGGAGTTGTAATGAAAGTGCTTTGTAAACTTGAAAGGTGATATAAATGTGAATGATTGTTAATATTAATCCAACAAACAAAATTAGATGGGATGGATATTAAGGCTTCAAAGAAAAGGATAGAGTCAGATAGAGGGCTAAGGCTCCCATATCAGTAAACAAATGGTTACATGAGTTTCATCTGATTAAACATTAAACTGCAACACAAAATTAAATGACCTTTTACCAATGTCTGACATCTCAGGTTGGCTGCTGTACACTGTGGCTGTTAAACTGAAATCTTGGACTAGATGGTATAGTTAATAAATCATTTTCCCTAAGGAGGTTTGGTCTGAAATATTTCATTAGGCTACAATAGACCATCTAGCCCAGATTTTACAGGATGATCTAAAAACTCAGAAATGCTGTTCATAACCCGAAGAAACTTTCTTTAGGCTCAACGGCCCCATCACCTAACCCTATGCCTTCTGTTCCCTGGTTCTATTCTCCTTCCCTGTTACCATGATAAGCTTTGTTCCCAAATTCAACTCTCACTGCTGCCTTTCCCTTAGAGGATCTTAGCCCAGTCTAGTTTTGGATGCAAGCTCATTTACCCTAGGAAACAACACAAAGGCCTTTAGGTGAGGATGAATAGGCACTGGAAGAGCTGTGGTGGCTCAGGAGCAGAATAACCAGGTAGAATATGGTCCAAGATTAATGTAAGGACATCGAAAATAACACGCCTGAGCATGGAAATGCAACTTTTCAAACTACTCCATCTATCTTGGAAATTGGCTGAATTTCTTTTAATATTCTTTCAAGGTCCTCTATGAGTCACTCCCAAGAATGATGGATCCTAATGGCTCAGAATATCTATAAAGCTTCTGTGCCCGGCCATCTTCTCTTTTAACTTTGTGACTTACTCTACTCTTGCAAACCAGGAACAGAAAGAATAGGCAGAGAAATCCATCTTTACATTATAATGGCATCTTATCTACCAGCACACAACCATGATGGGCTATTACATGACCCAGATCACATATCAGAAATTGAGCTGGCTTATGCTTCTGATCTTATGGGACTGGGCATCTTTTCAAGTCATTTCTGTACTGTCTTTTGGAACAAAATAATAAAAGAATAAATTGGAAGCTGAGGACTAGCCTGGCTTTCTTACAGTTGTTTTCTGTCTGAAAGTTTAGTAGGACAGGATTATGATGTTTCTGTGTCCTTTCAGGGGGACAGAAAGGAATCTCTAAGCCACACTGGAAATCCCATATGTGTATGTCCATTTAGGTGCATTTCCATTTAACCACCGTCTTGGACGTATGTCCTTCTAGACATGATAGGGCAGCTGGGTGATGCAGTGGATAGAGTGCCCAGCCTGAAGTCAGGAAAACTCTTCTTCCTGAGTTCAAATCTGGCCTCAGATACTAGCTCTGTGACCTTGGGTAAGTCACTGAACCCTGTTTGACTCAGTTTCCTCATCCACAAAATGAGCTAGAGAAGGAAATGGAAAACCACTCCTGTGTATTTGTCAAGAAAACCCCAAACGGAGTCAGGAAGAGTTACATGACTGAAACAACTGAATAGTAACAACAGGACATGATATGGCTTTATGTAGCTAAGTAGCTACCTGCTCAGTACCTGATAATCCTGGCACGTTTTCTAGAATAAGGGGTGATAACCTTGAAAAGCAGCTCCATTGCTCCATTGATGCCCAGCATTGCTGCAGTCGTGACTACAGAAAAGACAAGGGTAACAATAGTTATGGGACGAGTAGGAACCAAACTGTCCTTAACTTTAGAAAATTAACCCAAAGGCCTGGGAGGGGGGTACACTACTTTCTGATTTTTTGCCAGCAATCTCATCTGTGATACAGTAGAGAAGGTGAAGTGTGAGGCTCAAACATCATATAATCTATTGAGTCTGGCGCAAATGCATTTTGACTTCTGACTTCCCTCCTTACACACCTCCTTTTTATTACTAGGGAGAATGTGCAAGAAAATTGGTGCACAGAGACTCACTTCATGGTGAGACAAGTTTTCTGATCATTTCTTCAGTATTTCCATGTACAAATGGTGATGTTTCTGGGTCCCTCTCCTTTCCTTCTCTCCTCCTCTCCCTGCAAACTCAGAGAAGACCATTGTAGAAAAGGCCTGCTGGGACTGTGATATATCAGGGAAGGCCCCAAAATGATCAAGTGAAATCATTGGAGCAAAGGATTTAAAACTGGAAAATGAAATATTAGAGACCATCTACTCCATCCTCTCATTTTGCAGATGAGAGATCAGAGAATGGGGAGTGTTTTATCTCAGACCATCCAGGAGTAGAAAGCAAAGCCAGGATTCAAATCCAGGTGCTCAGATTCCAGTCAGTACAATTTCCACTCATGGAAATGAGGATGGATATTTTAAGCTTCTCAAGAGAAGAACCCTCTCAATGGCAAGGTAGAAGAGTAAGGTTCCCAAATTAGTAAACAAATGGCCATATAAGTTTCAACAAATTAAAATTAAACTGCTATACAAAATTAAAACAACCTTTAGACAATGTCTAACACGTCAGGTTGGCTGCTCTGGGCTGTGTCAACTCTCTGGATGCAAATATGTACTAGTTCAACTAAGCTTAGAATGATTTTTTTTAATTCTCAAGAGCAATTTATTGCACAGGAGATATGTCTTCCTGTTTTGCATAGGCACCAAGATGTCTTCCATCTTTGAGTCAGTTACAGCTGAGGGAATGATCTGAGTGTTCCTTCAACTCTCTGGTAGAATTTCAAAGATATTATCTATTCCCTCCTGCTGAAGGGAGCAGAACAGTTATCCCTAGTACTCCTTTCTTTTTTTTTCAGTTTGCCTGAATGGATGGCTACAAATATGACATCAAGGCCTGGAAAATAAAACCTCTGGAAGATCATAGTCCAATCCTCTCACTTCTAATCCAGAAGAAGGGAGAAAGAAATGGGACCTGGGTAAATTCTTGGCCCGTAGTAGAATTGTTGGCGGGGTAAAACACCAAGCTTTCTTTGTTCGCACTGACTGTGATGCAGAAGATAAAGTGTAGAATCTCCAGTAGAGAGAGAATAAGAATAAGAAACCGACACTGGTTCAGCAGCCAGCAGGCGCTCTGGATGGCTGCCTGAGGCTGGGCCTCTGGCAGCTCTATAAACATAGCCTATTGGCCATTTGGGAGCTGCCAAAGGGCCCATTGGCTTTTGCAGTCTTTTTAGGGCCCTAGCCAAGTCATCCTGCTGACAGGGAATGTTTGGAGAGCCTGCTGGTGCCTTCCACAACACCAAACAATTCATTAAGGCGACAGCAACGTACAGGTTGCTCGAACTCTGTTATTCTCAGGTCATTACATATCCTGTATAGACTGTGCAAATGTTTCCAAAGTACATTATGGAACAATTGCTACAATATTAAGATGGGTGTCAAATGGTCACTGAGATACCTTTTACCCACAGCAAAATCACGGGTCTTCTCAGAGCTACAGAAAGAGCGGGAAGTCATCTGACTGATGTTTCTGTTGATCTAGCCATGTGATGTCATTGATATAGAGCTCAATCTACCAATGCAGATACGCAAGATGCCTCTAAATCGTAGTCTTAGAGAATCATGTGAGACATAAAAAGGTCAAGTGATTTGTCTATGATCACACAGATAAATTTTTCACAGGTAGGACCTGAATCCAGATGTATTAATCTCCAAGAATATCCTTATACTACGATGCTTCTTAACTGATTTTATTTTTATTCCTTAGAACATTTACATAAAGTACTTCCAATTTTTAGATCTCAAAATGATAGCTGTAGTCACTCTTTGTGAAGGCAGATAGGTGGTGCAGTGCACAGTGTGCCAGACCTGGAACCAGGAAGACCTGAGTTCAAATCTGACCCTAGACACTTGCTAGCTATATGACCCTGGGCAAGTCACTTAACCCTGTTTACCTTAGTTTCCTCTTCTGTAAAATTAGCCAGAGAAGAAAATGGCAAGCCACTCCAGTATCTTTGCTAAGAACATCCCAAATGGAGTCACAAAGAGCCAGACATGACTAAAATGACTAAACAAAGTCACTCTCTGACTACAGAGTTGCTCTATACATCATCGTCATCATCATCATAGCTAATGTGAGAGGCAACTAAGTATAATGGATAGAGAGCTGGCCTGGGGTTTTACTTGTTTTTATGCTCCTGTTCTTTGTTATGTGAAGGCTGTCATGCACTTCTATCCACTTCTCCACGAAAAATACTTTGTCAGAGAAGGAAGTACTTTGTAATTAGGTTTGCTTGCAGCCATGTTGGGAAAGCAGTGATACATAGATGATACAGGACTGACTTGGAGCCAAGAAGTCATGCCTTTGACTCATACTGACTGTGTGATCATATGACCTCTCAGAGCTCTAAGCAATTCTCCAATACCCTAAGTTGCAGAGAAGATGCTGATCTGAATTGGAAGAAGGAATTTCCTCATCAATAATTCTTCACATCAATGAAATCCCATGTCCAGTCCAAAATTTGCAAAGTACTCTACATTGATGGTCTCATTTTATTCTCACAACAAACCATTCAAGTAGGTACTATAGATGTTGACTCTACCCGTTTTATAGATGAGGAAATTGAAACTGAGACATTAAGAGAGATCAGCCAGCTGGGGAGAGTCCAAGCATGGACTAGAAGCCAGGAGCTTTAAGCTACAGGCTTTATAGGAGAAAAGGAAAGGAAATGCTTGGGGCTTGCTGAGACTTTGAAGGCTCACTTTAGGGCCAGACTCAGGATTCTGCAAAGCTGAAGCGAAGATCAAAATATAAGCTCGCGCCTATCACAGCTCATCTCCTCACAAGCAGCTGTCATAAATCTAGTCAATTAATTATTTCCACTTATCTGCTCCCTCCTTTTCCCCCTTCATTCTCCTCCTCCCCCCATTCTCTCCCAGCCCTCTCTTTTCCTTATCTCCTTGCCACACCTAGACCCCCTACACCCTCCTCCTTCTCCTCCTCCTCCTTCTATTTCTCTCTCTTCCTCTCTCTCTCTCCCCCCCCACACACACAAACACACACAAATACTGTTATGATTTGATGTCTAGTTCTTCAAGTTTTGTTTCAGAAGGTTCCCTTGACCAGAGCTAAATATAAAGAATCAACTTACCTCTAGAGGCAAAAACCTGCAGTGCCCAGAGACAATGAATGAGATTCTGGTTGTGAGACAGATTTTTTCTGGCCAGAATCAACATCACATCAAGTGCCTCCAATTCCAGAGCTTTCTTTCCAAACTCTTTATCTAGAAGCACACACAACAGAAATTAGTCCATGAGTGGCTTCTGACACTGACTCTGAGCAAGTCATGTCGCACAAATAGAAAGCATCACAAGTCAAATTTTCATAGTCTGAAGATGTAAAGATAAAGTGATTTATACTAAGTGCTTCACTGGAGTATTACATACCCCAGCAGCACTAGTGATCATATATATTACACTCTTTTTAGTATTGTCCACCAATTTTGTCATGACTGCCTAATATAGTATTATGTAACTGTCATAAAAATGATACCATGCTAAGTAGATCTCCCTTCATTCTCTCCTCCTTTGATGTGAGTCTCTGGGGAATTAATAACCCTCACTTTTTGACTTCTTGTCAAGTGCAACCTTTCTATTTGTACCGTTAGACCCGTTCTATCCTCTGCCCCAGAATAGATCTCTTGGATTCTTGGATCTCTTCCCTTCTCTTTCTGTCTCTCTCTCTCTATAAATGTTTATACATATGTGTATATGTATACATGCATGTTTATACATATGTATATATGTATACATATATACATATGTGTATATGTATACATGCATGTTTATACATATGTATATATGTATACATACATGTTCACACATCTGTGTGTATACATACACACAAACAGGTATGTGTGTATGTATATATGTTGTTGTTAAGTAGATTTTTCAGTCATGTCTGAATCTTTGGGACCCCATCTGGGGTTTTCTTGGCAAAGATGCTGGAGTGATTTGTCATTTCCTTCTCCAACTCATTTTACAGATGAGGAAACTAAGGTAAACAGAGTTAAATGATTTGTCTAGAATCACACAGCCAGTAAGTGTCTGAGGCCAGATTTGATCAGGAAGGTGGGTCTTTCTGACTCCAGGCCTGTGTATTCCAAGCAGTGGAGGTAAGAATGGTTGAGATATATCTTATGCAAAGTAGGAGATACATACACACACACACGTGTGTGTGTGTGTGTGTGTGTGTGTGTGTGTGTGTGTGTGTGTGTGTAGGGGGCAGCTAGATGGTACAGTGGACTCATCTTCCTAAGTTCAAATCTGGCCTCAGATACTTCCTAGTTGTGTGACTCTAGGGCAAGTCACTTAACCCTGTTTGCCTCAGACATATTTCATATTATTTTCCTTCACACAATCCACTTCTTAGAATATACAGCTTCTTTTGAGTTTGACCCCAAATGCCATCTCTCCTGCGAAGCTTCAATGATACTACATTTATCTGTGGATATGTTGTTTCCATCAAGCAGAATGCCCTATTTGAGGGCAAGTCCTATTTCATCTTATATTGTGTAGTTCACTAAAACTCCAGACCTACATACAAATCATTATGTAGCCCTGTCTCTCCCATCCTATACTTGGGCAGTTGATTTTTTGGACTCATTTATGATTTTGTGTTTATCCCTATAAAATTGCATCCCACTAATTTTAGTTCATTGTTTTCACTAGTTAAGATCATTTGGGGTCTAAACCATCACCTAGTATATTCTTTATTCCCTCTCAACTTCGTCTTCTTCAAATATAAGTATGTCATCTATGCCATTATATAAGTCAGCAATAACATTACTAAACAGCAGATAGCCAAGGACATCCCTATGAAGCACTCCACTATAAACCTTCCTCCAACAACCTAGGCAAAACCATATGAATGCCCTGATTTTAGTATGTGTGATCTATGAAAGAATAAAGCTATACTTGTGTGGTTATTCCCATAAATATTATGAAAACGGCTATGCCATTGTCCAAGTTCTATTAGAGCTTCATTGAATATTAAGTTCCCAGTATCACTTTCATTATTACCAAAATATATGTGTGTGTGTGTGTGTGTGTGTGTGTGTGTGTGTGTGTGTGTGTGTGTTTCATTCTATTTAGCCTCAGGCTTCAAGGGCCATTGGTACCTCTCTGGCCAACCTTGACCAGCAACCGAAGAAGAGGCAAGAGGATGTTGTAATCTGGGGAAGCTGTCCGAGCAGAGTCCACCAAGGTCTGGAGGAGGGCTTCACTGCCTCCCTTGCTAATCATGTAGTGGATCCTTCGATCTGTACCTAAGGAAAGGAATGAGAGTAGAATCATTAATCATGATTTTAGAAAACAGGAAACAGGCCTAAAAAGCTGGACACAAGAAGGAATTGTTCAGTTTATTTTAAAAGATACTAGAAGAGGCCAGATCCTTTATAGTTCTTAAGCTACTCAATGTTTATGATAGGAAATTAGGGAAAGAGACTCAATTTCAATTATAGTTGAAAGAGACTATAAAAGTCATCTGCTCTAACCTTCCCCTGTGAGGTCATCAGAGTACAATGGGCAGTAATGATGGAGGGGGCAAATAGAATATAGCCCTTTCACTAGAGCAGATGAAATCAATTTCTAGACTTTATACTTTGTTGAGTTTGTCACATCAACACTGTGGGTACTCCTTTCTATGGTGTACATTTCAACTCAATTCCTCCATGCCTTCCTCTTCATCCTAAGTGATTCATACCCCTGTCTTTTGATAAGTGCTCCATAGCAGATCCATGGGACCTAAAGAGTAAGTCTTAAATAGCATTCCTGGGATTTTTTTTAGTTATAAGGAGAACAGTCCCATAAGCCTCTACTTGACTGAGGAAAGAAATAAATGTTCCTCAAAAGACGTATTATTAGGAATACACGTTAAAGAGCAACCTCAAATAAGACAGCAAGTATTCTCTCTGGACATGTAATTGATAGTCAATCAATTGATCAACAAGCATGTTAAGCAATTCCTATATGCCAGGCACCATGTTAAGAGCCAGGCACCATGATAAAAGAAAAAGTTAAAATAAACTCTGACCTCAAGGAGTTTACCTCCAATGGGAGAAACAGCAATTACTAAAATCAGTATATATAAGACCTATGCAAAATAGATGGAAGGTAGCTTTTCTTTTTTTTTTTTATTTTTGGCTGGGCAATGGGGTTAAGTGACTTGCCCAGGGTCACACAGCTACTAAGTGTTATGTGTCTGAGGCTGGATTTGAACTCAAGTTCTCCTGAATCCAGGGCCAGTGCTCTATCCACTGTGCCACCTAGGTGCCCCAAAGGTAGCTTTTCTTAGAAGAGAAGACACTAAGATCTGAGAGGACCAGGAAAGGCTTCTGGCAGAAGGTAACATTTAAATTGGGTCTCAGAGGAAGCTAGGGATTCTGAAAGGTCAAGGTGAAGAGAGACAGCTTTCTAGTGGGGAATAACCATTGAAAAGGCATAGAAATTGGAAACGGAGCATCATGAGTGATGAACAAGATGTATGGCTAGAATATTGAGTATCAGGATGGAAAAATGTATAAGAAGATTGGAAGGATAGAAAGGGGCTAAAATGTGAAGAATTTTAAATGTCAAACAATCAACAAGTATTTATTAAGTGTCTACTATGCACCATGCAGTACTATACTAAGTGCTAAGAATGGAAGAAAAAATAAAGTCAAACAGCTACATACAAACAAGACATAGATAGTACAAAAGAGATAATCTCAGGGAGAAGGCACTAAGATTGAAGAGGACTGGCAAAGATTTCTTAAAGAAGGTAGGACTTCAGATGAAATTATAAGGAAACCAACAGGTAATGAAGAAGTAGAGAATTCCAGGCATGGGGAACAGCCAATCAAAATGTACACAATCAGGAGATGGAGTTGTGTGCAAAGGACAATAAGGAGTTCAGTATGGCTGGATTATAGAATATATAGAAGGAAATAAGGTGTAAGAATACAAGCAAGGTAGAAAAAGTTTAGGTGATAAAGGGCTTTAAAAGCCAAAGATCAGGGAGATAATAGCTGTTAGAGTTTACCTCTTCTGAGGGTAACTCAAGTCCTAGTGTTATGGAGGTTGCTGACACAAAAGTTCTATTCAACTACCTTTCCTCCAAGACCTCAGTGGCACCATCACACTTCTGTTCCCAGCTATCCATTTAAAAATAAGCTATTTTCCCCAACTGCCAACATTTTGTGTATGTAAAGGAAGTGCCAAGAACTGGATTGGTGGTATTGAGACAGTACTGAAGGCCAGTTGGCACACATTAGGAATACAGAGGAGTAGAAGGAAGATATCCGTGCAATAGAAAGGTTAAGTAGAGACCTAGAAACAGCCCCAACTGATTCAGCTGCATTGTAGTCTCTCTGCCTCCCAAGGCACCTCCCACTGTATCTGGGAGTGAGTAATTCAGTTTTTTCTTTGCTAAGTGGGAGTCCACTGTAACACTCAAGCTGTGAGTTAAAACTATTTTTATTTTGGTGGGGGAGGTGGGCAGAGAAGGCCTCTGGACTGCCCTTCCCACTATGCTACCAATAATCAAGCAGCATGAAAAGACAACTGTCCCTTAATGTTTCACTGACTTTTTCATTACTTTCCATTTTTTCTTTTCAGTAGCTTTACTTTTCCACTTTTCCACAGTATCTGGGAAGTGTTTCAGAAGTGAGTTTACAGTAAGAAGAATACAATATATCTCAGAAGATACCACCAACAAATTAAGTCATATCTAGGAAAGGATGAACCAAATGACCGTCGCTGGATCAATAGGAGTTGAGTGAATGAGAAACAAAAACCAAAATGAACATTCATGAAGAACCTTCTTAACAAGATATTGGCAGGGCTGCTTCAGTCACAATGGCACTCAGAGAAGATCAGCAAAGCTAGACATATTTCTGGGTGTGCCAGGTTCTCATTGCCCAGCCCATTACCTTCACCTGAGAAAAGTAAATAAGGAAATGAAGATACTTACCAACAGAAAGCAGCTCAGTGAGAACCTGGAGGATGCTCAAAATTGATTCTCTATCAGAAGAGCTCTAAAATTGGAACAGAGGAAGTCATTTTTGAGAAGGTAGGGCTTGTGATTTACAAGCCTCTAAGTAATAAGAATTGATCCCATTGTTGCTACCTGTTCTTGGACAACCTTGTTACAAAATCCTCATTACCAAATCCTGAGGATTGCACTTCTTCAACATCTCTTACATCCACACTTGGTACAAGCCTTCATTACCACCTGCTTAGACCATTGCAATTGAATCTGAATAGGTCTTCCCAAATCTCCTTCCTCTCTACTTGAATACATACTACTGCCAGAATACTCTCCCTTATGCACTGATCCAATAATATCACTTCTCTGCTTAAAAATATTCTCCGTAAATTAAAAGAAATAAAAGGCCTTTTTTTAAGCATTCAAGACCCTTTATAATCTAGTACCACCACAGGTATCTAAAATTATTTCATATCAATCTCCTTCATATACTCTTCATTCCAGTCAATTTGGACCATTTTTTATGTTCATATTACCTTTATGCTTTTCCTTGCCCTTATTTAAACTGTTTCCTATGCTCAGATGACCTCCCTTAGGCCTCTTGAATTCATACACACCTTCTAAATCCCAAAGAAAATGATACTTCTTCCACGAGGAAAATGCTATGCCATGTTTAAACCCACAAAGAAAATAGAAGCTCTTCCATGAAAAAAATCTAGCCCACCTGATTGCATTTGTCAATAAATAATGTCACTGCCTAACCCCCCTTTTGCACCTCTCATTCATCAGGCAATATTGTATCATTACCCATGCCTTACCCATGGCTCACCCAATGAGGACAAAAACCTTCTATAAACTTTGACTGGGATAGTACTTTTCAGGCAATAGGCACTTAATAAATGTTACCTGAGTGTTGAATGAATGAATAGACAGGCATTTATGTAACACCTCATGGCTTACAACATTATACACAACTTCTTGTTTGATCTTTACAACAATCCTATGAAGCAGATACAAGAATTATTATTCCCATTTGGCAGAAGAGGAAACTGAAACAGAGAGGTAAAGTGATTTTCCCAGGATCACACAGCTAGTAAGTATCTAAGGTCATTTAAACTCAGGTCTTCCTGACTCCAATCCTAGTTTTCTACTTTATCCATGAGCCACATGAAGCCATGTGCTCAAAGAATTTAAATGATTTCCTCAAAGCAATAGCTAACCAATTGACAAATTAGAACTTGAATCTGGGTCTTCAGGAAGACACCATAGTTTGATGGAAAGAACATTGGAATTAGACTCAGAGGGTCAAAAGTTAAGTTCTTGATGAGCTAATTCTGGGAATTCTGGCAAGTTGAGAAAGAGAGGAGTGAGATTCAGTTTTCCCTGTCTTTAAGATGGTGATGATAATACTTCTGCTGTCTATGCATGAGTTGTGCAGATCAAGTGAAATAATACATGTAGAGTGCTTTGAAAATTCTGAAATATTACTGCATATAAAATTCGTCTGTTAGGAAAGTAGTCTGACTAGCTAAGTCGAGGGCTCTTTCTACAAGTACACATAGATCTGTGCTTCATTAAGTTGCATTACAGTGGGGGAAGCTTCCTAAAGTTGTAGGGCTATGTGAGGAAAAGCAAAATGAACAATTACTGCAGATATCTCACTTGGATGTTTCAAACATGGTGCCATCCAGGTATTTATGCTTCAGGACCAGTGTTACTTAGTAAACTTTCTCTGAGGGCTTGCTTTGGGGGATACAGCAGTAAAATGAGCTCTATAGGGAACATTGATAGGGCACAGAAATAGAACAGGGAAAGGTGACTTTGGGAGACCTATATAGCACATTTACCACCATTATTTATCAGCAGACTTTTTTTTTCAAATTAAGGGCCATGACAGTGAGGACAGATCACCTAAAATATCCTGATAAAAAAAAGCCAGACTACCCAGGTTTAAAATGATGTTTGTATGTTTTATTATAGGTCTTATCATTAACTGTTTGATCGGGAAGGGACCTTAAAGATCGTCTCTTGCAAACCCCTTATTTTACAGAGGAGCCATCTGAGATTCAGTTACCTGTCCAAGGTCACATAGTTCATCAGTGGCATGTCTGGAAACTTCCTATCTAGCATCTTTCCACTGTACCACAAATCAAAGTGCCATACTATTCTTATTTATACCCTGGGGCTAATTAGGTAATAGCTCCTCCATCTGAAAAGCATCTCAAGAAGTCATCTTGTCCAATCTCAAGGCAACACTGCTCCTAAGCTTCTTTAAGGCTAAGCTTAAAACCCT